TAATTTTGTTGAATGTGGATTGCTTCGTTTTAATGTAGATTGTCTCCAAAATCTGAATTTTTTGAATATTTAGTCTTTATTTTCACCAGAAATTAAAACAAACATTCGAACATTAGAACGGCTTATGTTCAGATATATTAGGCATTCATTGTCTATTACATTTAATAATATATGTTTAAATAATGATTTGCTGCCCCAATACACCAAATTCAAATATATATATATATATATGTGTGTGTGTGTGTGTGTGTGTGTGTGTGTGTGTGTTTAAAGGAAATGTAAATGCCAACACAGACTGAAAGCAAACATCCATTGTATGACAGAAACGTCAAAGGAGGACTGCGTCTGTGGATACTGTGTTGACGTGTCTAATCATTAGATGGAGAACAAAATGGCTTTAGGTTGAGATTCGACGCGAAATGATAAGACCAGACGTCTGTGATGATAACTGTGACAACGGACAATAAATCTACTGAGGCAGAGAAGATTATGGCAATAAATTTGATTTCTTGACACGTCGACACAAACAAGGGTAATGAAGCGCTAAGTATTGACGTCTTCCGAACTGACAGAGATTGTTTTAGATAATTTCCAAGGACGCGTGGACATTGCCGAATAATGGAAGAAAGAGTTTTTATTCTAATTATTTCTTTCTCTTTCAGAATAGCTAATCCTGTAAGTCGGATTTGTTTAATCTGTACAGCGAGACGATCCTAAGAGGACTGTAAGACCGACAAGGATTTATAATCGGTGAACATAATCATAATAACACAAGACATACGAATGGCATTGTTTTGATGTCGAACTTAAAAAGAAAAAAAGAACACTTAGACAAGACAGTAAAGAAAAGCAAGATGAAAGGACTAACTCTTAACTCAAAAGACAGAACGGATGGACGACCGCGAAATAGACAGATCAAATTCAGTCAGTTATTTGCCATGCGTGATATACACTTAAGCGATCATGTAACTTTCGATACATGACTGACGAGTCATATTTTTCCCGTAGTAGGTTGCCATTTTTTTCTGAAGTAGACCAGTTAACATCCAAGGCTATAGAACCCAGTCTGTTCTGCTTTTTACCCATAGCTGGAGGGAGAAGAGGATTCATACCTTTCCCGAGGGTATCAAGACGTAAGTGAATGTAATGGATTCGACTGAAATTCGAACTCGGCTCTATGATTCCTCAATCCGAGTCGCTATCCATAACTCCACCATGCCTCCAGACCAAATTGCAAGCTGCATATCGGAGTAGTCATAATGAAGCAAATAGGGAACTATCTGGATAGTATAGAAACAGACGACGGAAAATGTGGCACAGAAATCCGAAGAATGCATACGAATAGCGAAAGTTGCATATCAGAAACTAAGCAAAATATTAAGAGAGAGAAAGGAGTCGTTAGAAACAAGGAAAACAATGGCGAAGTAGTATATAATATCAAATCCCTTGTATCTCAGTGAATTTCTGACAAATGAAGCTGAGGCTTGAAACAAGAGAGATCGGGTTTTATCAGCTTTTGCTGGTCATGTGAGGAATAGAACTTATGAGCAAAGCTGAAATTGTAATAAAAAAAAGGAACTACATGGAAACTTATACTTACAATCAAAAGAGAGTTGAAATTTCAAGGATACAGAACGAGGAAAGATTACTTGAAGAAATTAAAACAGGCTATAGTGAAAGCATGCGGATCAGCGTGGAGGGTGTAGAAAATCATCTAATAAACGAGTTTGCGTCAATGGATAGTGGAACAGTGTAATGCAATGATGGAAAATCAACAAAAGACTGAAAGTCATGAAGAGCCATGATCACCCACGCCCCGGTCATTTATATATATATATATATATATATATATATATATATATATATATATATATATATATATATATATATATATTCGAATAAAAGACAGACCACGTTAAGATTCCATGTAATAAGCTATTTCACCATAACCCCTTTAACAGGGTTCTGGATCATCAGACATTACTTCCAAAAGGTTTTGTCTATCCGGGAGTTTTAAGCGGATAGACAAAACCTTTGGAAGTAAAGTCTGATGATCCAGAAACAGTTAAAGGGGTTATGGTGAAATAACTTATTACATGGAATCTTAACGTGGTCTGTCTTTTATTCAAACATATCTGCTCGAATTTTACATTGAGCTCTCTGGATATCATCCTCCTCAGGTCTACCCATACGGATTACCTAAATTTGCATAAACTAAAATATATATATATATATATATATATATATATATATATATAAAAACTAGGGTTAAATAAAGACTTGGGTATTTTAAATCTTTATAAATATTTCAATAGTTAAACATTTTTTATTAAAAAAAAAATTTTATTTCTTATTTTATTTTTTGAATTTTTTTAAACAACATCTAAAATATTATTACAGATTTACGTTAGGAATATTCGTTCCATATCACGTGACGTCCGCATTTCGCGACGGACGCTACTTGTAAACAAACAGTTATTTCTGAGGAAAGATTGAGGCCAATCTGAAATATCAAATATACAAATAAATAAATACTTTCATAAAAGAACATTATTATTTTTTTTTAATTTGCAACTTGAGTTTTTCTTCCCAGGTTTTATTCAAGAACCATCAAGAGAACGGTGAATGAGTTTAAAAAAGAGGCAACAGAGAGGAAAACTGGATCTGGAGGCCACAACAGCAAGAGGGATCATCATTTCAAGTGAGAGCTAAATAATTTTTTTGTTCAAAATGTTGTCCAATAATAATATAAAAACCTCGGATAATTCCAGTAAGATATTTTAATCTTTTCTAAGATAGAACGATTCAAAGATTAATCTACAATTGTACAATTTTGCTGTTACACGATTTGGGCAATTTTGGTGTTACAGACGATATATATATATATATCTGAAAACAACACCCTGCATTATATATATATATATATATATATATATATATATATATTGGTTTCAGTCACTTTCACACTGAGGGGACACGGATTCTATCTGCCTTTTTCTATAAATATTTTGATGGGGAATTGTTTTAATCAGCTGACCAGATTTTAACCTCGATTACATAAATTTAAACGTTCTACTACATTGGCAAATAAGTTTCATAGATTTGGTGTTGAAATAGCTAGATGTAATGGTAAATTTTATTCTGATAGCTTTTTAACATACTTCTCGCTTTTTAAACACTCTTCCGATCTTTTGCTTCGCCCCCATTAACGATAATCAAAAGTGTAAATGCAACGTCAATGGCCATCTTCTATCCTTAAACCGTGTTTTGAAAAATGTAAACATTTTATAAAATATACATGCACCAAAGTATTTCTTATTGAACAGTTAAAATATTTAATTCTTGAAAATGGCTAAATGTATAGTCGAAAACGCTCGGATTCGGACAGATTTTAAATAATTTATCATCTGAAAAGAAAAAACAATATTAAACCGCAGGAGAAATTGTATAAAAACTAAAAGCACCTTGTCTGTCGTATTCAATTAAATGTGCATGAAAGAAGGATTGCTGCCTAAATATACACACACTCTCTCTCTCTCTCTCTCTCTCTCTCACACACACACACACACACACATATATATATATATATATATATATATATATATATTGTGGTGTCCTCTCTCTAAAGTGTCTATGTTGGTCTTCTTCTGTATCCTACTATGGAATTTTTATATATATTATTTATATATTATATATGCGCGGTACTTATTGGAAAGCGCCCAATATCAGTGATAGATCTAACATATTTACTTGTATTGATGTGAGTTTGTGACCCTGGGTTTTACGCTCTCTGTGATCGCCAGACAAACGATCGCAAGGGCGTGAAACCCAGGGCCCAAACATCATCATCTAAATCTATATATATATATATATATATATATATATATATATATATATATATATATATATATATATTGCGTATGTTTTGGCATCATGTTTTCATTAACACATGTCTCATTGAATAATTTAGACAGGTTTTGTCTACTTATTTTCAGTAGGATCCTCTCATATTCATGGACAAGCTTCTTAGTACCCTTATTAAGGTGTAGAGATAATTACTTTGTTTATACGTATTCATTTTTTCCGAATACTTTCGACATTAACACAATGTCATCATCAGGACGTTGTTTTTTGTTTGCTTTTTCTAAGACAAAATCTTGTATTTATCTGAAAGTTAGAAAAAACAACACCCTGCATTATATATATATATATATATATATATATATATATATATATATATGTATGCCTGCATATTATATATATATATATATATATAGAGAGAGAGAGAGAGAGAGAGAGACGGCTGCATTCCTTTTCCGTGGACATCCGTCTGCGAGGGCACCTAGCCAATCCCTGTTGCAAACACCTGCTCTGGCAAATTCTTGTTTGTTCAATACCGATAGCCTACACCTATAGTTTCTACTGCAAGTATACTGAGTGAACAATACTTCCAGTTTCAAGGAGAGAGTGCATAATCTTACAGGATTATCAGGTTTGAACCACGCCAGTACACTGAAATTCTCGGTCAAGATGACTTGCCACTTCATGCTAGCACAACTATCAACAGTTTCCGAGCAGTATTGACCAGGCTCAACGTTGCTTAACTTCAGTGATCAAACGAGAACCGATGTTTCAACGTGGTATGCCCGTAAAATCTCATCCACCCACTCTACTTATATATAATTACATGAATGAGAATATTTTAGTCTGTTTTGGGGGGGTTGGGGGGTACCATTCCATTAGTTTTGGTTAATTTGTTGTTGTTTTTTACGTTTTTTTTTTTTTTCAGGTTGTTTAAAGCTAGAAAATATTTTTAGAAATATTGATTTACTGATACAAGTCCTAATAATTAATCCAATGCTGGAGGAAGGAAAAATAGATTTGCACCTTTCCCAAAGGTATTTGACCGTAAGTGAATCTAATGAACCCGATTGGAATTGAAACCCCGTTCTCTCATTTGAAACCGTTATCCATCATACTACCCACTCATCCAAGTTTAAAGCAACTGGCATTCTCAAGCGGTTACTCATCTAAGTACTGACCAGGTTTGACATTGCTTAACTTCGGTTATCATAGGCGAGCCGGTGTTTCAACATGGTATGGCCGTAAGCCTGATATTCAATTAGTCATTATTATTCTGATATATAGCGTTTGTATATCGTAGTTCTCCCAATCTTTTATACTAATTAGGGATAGGGAATGATTATAGAAAGATTCTGTTACGCCAGGCATTTACTTATTTTGTAAATAAGCATTCGTTTTTTTGTTTTTGTTTTTTGGGTTTTTTTTCGGTGTGGGGGCGGGGGGTTACGGGAGCTCGACTGACAGATAAAAAATAGGTAACTCTCTCAAATATTAAAGTGGATTAGATCTGGTATGAAACCGCTGCAGAATCGAACTCAAATCATTAGTGAATTTATCTAGATATATGAGTTTGTTAAACATAGCTCTACCCTGGGCGCCCCCGTTCAAACCTTAATACCTTATGTAACTGACATTGACTTTTCAAGAATCAACCATTAATTGAGAAAATCTAACAAGATAAGCCTGACGCCCCTGTACAAACCATCAAATTTCACTTTCCTTTATTCGTTATGAATCTTTTGAGAAGACATCGAAACCAGATGGCATTTAACTTCTTTCAAACCACTGCGTTCGTACGAAAGCAAAAGATATTCGACAAAATATGACGTAATTCTTCGTTGTGTAAGACGAATTTTGATAATATTTTGTTCACAGGTAAGGAAGAGAGTTTCTTTTGAAATCTTTAAGCAATCAATAAATTCGAGATATTCGTTAAAAAAATGTCAAAAATGCCGAGACTTGTTATCGGTATAACTCGTTCACAAAATTATTCAGCTTAACAAGAATTTTTCCATTCATTAAAGAAGTGTGAGAATAGCAGAACACAACAAATCAAACAAAATTAATTTTGTCTTGCGTCTTCCGTATTGTTACATTTTTAAATTTCTTTTTGTATCTTTTTCCAACGGAAACATTTGGACATTATTAGCTAAGTTGAAAATATATATATATATATAATTATATGATCAACTCCATATATAACAAGGTGGTGTAATGGTTAGCAAGTTTGTCTCGCTACAACAATTACGACTGAGTAGTGAGTTCGATCCTCACTGGATGCCCCATACTTTCGGCCTTGTGCCGCATCTAAGCCGGGCTTAGAAAATCACTATAACAACCGACTGGTCATTTCAACGTGGTATAATGTTTAACAAGCTTGTCTAGCTATAACAGAGTAGAGCGTTCGATCCTCATACGCGCTCCAGACATTCGGACTTCATGTCACATCGAAGCAAGGCATGGTAACTCACTTTTCATCCTTATATAACAAACATTTTGGATAATGGTTTATAAATTTGTTTCGCTAGATGAATTATGACTGAGCTATAGTTAGATCCTCACTGGGCGCTCCATAATTACGGCCTTGTACAATATCTAAGCTACGCTTAATAAATTACGTATGGTAAGGAAGCTTGTCTCGCGAGAACAATTACGACAGAGAAGTCTGTTCGATCCACACAGGGTACTGGATATTCACGGGCCAGTGACTATCTAAGCTACATTAGTAAATCACGTGTAATGGTTAACAAGCATGTCTTAGATTACTGAGTACTGATTTCGAACCTAACTTGGTGGTTCATACATTCGGCCGTGTATCAAAGCAAGGTTTGGGGCACTTCAACGTGGGGTAAAGGTTATCATGCTTGTCTTTCAAAATCAATTCCGACTGAGTATTGACTGAGTTCGGTCCTTACCGGGAGCTCCATACTTCCTACGATTAGTAAATCACGCGTAATGGCTAACAGGCTTGTCTCCCTAGATTATTGAGTATTGAGTTCAAACTTGACTGGGTGGTTCCTACATTTGGCCTCGTACCACACCAAGGCGAAGGTTTGGGGCACTTCAACATGGTGTAAAGGTTATCATGCTTGTCTTTCAAAATCAATTACGACTGAGTATTGACTGAGTTCGATCCTTACCGGGTGCTCCATACTTCCTACGATTAGTAAATCACGTGTAATGGCTAACAGGCTTGTCTCCCTAGATTATTGAGTATTGAGTTCAAACTTGACTGGGTGGTTCCTACATTTGGCTTTGTACCACACCAAGGCAAAGGTTTGGGGCACTTCAACATGGTGTAAAGGTTATCACGCTTGTCTTTCAAAATCAATTACGACTGAGTATTGACTGAGTTCGATCTTTACCGGGTGCTCCATATTTCCTACGATTAGTAAATCACGTGTAATGGCTAACAGGCTTGTCTCCCTAGATTATTGAGTATTGAGTTCAAACTTGACTGGGTGGTTCCTACATTTGGCCTTGTACCACACCAAGGCGAAGGTTTGGGGCACTTCAACGTAGTGTAAAGGTTATCATGCTTGTCTTTCAAAATCAATTACGACTGAGTATTGACTGAGTTCGATCCTTACCGGGTGCTCCATACTTCCTACGATTAGTAAATCACGTGTAATGGCTAACAGGCTTGTCTCCCTAGATTATTGAGTATTGAGTTCAAACTTTACTGGCTGATTCCTACATTTGGCCTTGTACCACACCAAGGCAAAGGTTTGGGGCACTTCAACATGGTGTAAAGGTTATCATGCTTGTCTTTCAAAATCAATTAGGACTGAGTATTGACTGAGTTCGATCCTTACCGGGTGCTCCATACTTCCTACGATTAGTAAATCACGTGTAATGGCTAACAGGCTTGTCTCCCTAGATTATTGAGTATTGAGTTCAAACTTTACTGGGTGGTTCCTACATCTGGCCTTGTACCACACCAAGGCGTAGGTTTGGGGCACTTCAACGTGGTGTAAAGGTTATCATGCTTGAGTTTTAAATCAATTACGACTGAGTGTTGACTGAGTTCGATCCTTACCGGGTGCTCCATATTTCCTACGATTAGTAAATCACGTGTAATGGCTAACAGGCTTGTCTCCCTAGATTATTGAGTATTGAGTTCAAACTTTACTGGGTGGTTCCTACATTTGGCCTTGTACCACACCAAGGCAAAGGTTTGGGGCACTTCAACGTGGTGTAAAGTTTATCATGCTTGTCTTTCAAAATCAATTACGACTGAGTATTGACTGAGTTTGATCCTTACCGGGAGCTCCATACTTCCTACGATTAGTAAATCACGTGTAATGGCTAACAGGCTTGTCTCCCTAGATTATTGAGTATTGAGTTCAAACTTGACTGGGTGGTTCCTACATTTGGCCTTGTACCACACCAAGGCGAAGGATTGGGGCACTTCAACATGGTGTAAAGGTTATCACGCTTGTCTTTCAAAATCAATTACGACTGAGTATTGACTGAGTTCGATCTTTACCGGGTGCTTCATATTCCTACGATTAGTAAATCACGTGTAATGGCTAACAGGCTTGTCTCCCTAGATTATTGAGTATTGAGTTCAAACTTGACTGGGTGGTTCCTACATTTGGCCTTGTACCACACCAAGGCGAAGGTTTGGGGCACTTCAACATGGTGTAAAGCTTATCATGCTTGTCTTTCAAAATCAATTCCGATTGAGTATTGACTGAGTTCGATCCTTACCGGGTGCTCCATACTTCCTACGATTAGTAAATCACGTGTAATGGCTAACAGGCTTGTCTCCCTAGATTATTGAGTATTGAGTTCAAACTTTACTGGGTGGTTCCTACATTTGGCCTTGTACCACACCAAGGCGAAGGTTTGGGGCACTTCAACATGGTGTAAAGGTTATCATGCTTGTCTTTCAAAATCAATTACGACTGAGTATTGACTGAGTTCGATCCTTACCGGGTGCTCCATACTTCCTACGATTAGTAAATCACGTGTAATGGCTAACAGGCTTGTCTCCTAGATTATTGAGTATTGAGTTCAAACTTTACTGGGTGGTTCCTACATGTGGCCTTGTACCACACCAAGGCGTAGGTTTGGAGCACTTCAACGTGGTGTAAAGGTTATCATGCTTGACTTTAAAGTCAAATACGACTGAGTGTTGACTGAGTTCGATCCTTACCGGGTGCTCCATATTTCCTACGATTAGTAAATCACGTGTAATGGCTAACAGGCTTGTCTCCCTAGATTATTGAGTATTGAGTTCAAACTTTACTGGGTGGTTCCTACATTTGGCCTTGTACCACACCAAGGCAAAGGTTTGGGGCACTTCAACGTGGGGTAAAGCTTATCATGCTTGTCTTTCAAAATCAATTACGACTGAGTATTGACTGAGTTCGATCCTTACCGGGAGCTCCATACTTCCTACGATTAGTAAATCACGTGTAATGGCTCACAGGCTTGTCTCCCTAGATTATTGAGTATTTAGTTCAAACTTTACTGGGTGGTTCCTACATGTGGCCTTGTACCACACCAAGGCGTAGGTTTGGGGCACTTCAACGTGGTGTAAAGGTTATCATGATTGACTTTAAAATCAATTACGACTGAGTGTTGACTGAGTTCGATCCTTACCGGGTGCTCCATATTTCCTACGATTAGTAAATCACGTGTAATGGCTAACAGGCTTGTCTCCCTAGATTATTGAGTATTGAGTTCAAACTTTACTGGCTGGTTCCTACATTTGGCCTTGTACCACACCAAGGCATAGGTTTGGGGCACTTCAACGTGGTGTAAAGTTTATCATGCTTGTCTTTCAAAATCAATTACGACTGAGTATTGACTGAGTTCGATCCTTACCGGGAGCTCCATACTTCCTACGATTAGTAAATCACGTGTAATGGCTAACAGGCTTGTCTCCTAGATTATTGAGTATTGAGTTCAAACTTGACTGGGTGGTTCCTACATTTGGCCTTGTACCACACCAAGGCGAAGGATTGGGGCACTTCAACATGGTGTAAAGGTTATCACGCTTGTCTTTCAAAATCAATTACGACTGAGTATTGACTGAGTTCGATCTTTACCGGGTGCTTCATATTCCTACGATTAGTAAATCACGTGTAATGGCTAACAGGCTTGTCTCCCTAGATTATTGAGTATTGAGTTCAAACTTGACTGGGTGGTTCCTACATTTGGCCTTGTACCACACCAAGGCGAAGGTTTGGGGGCACTTCAACATGGTGTAAAGCTTATCATGCTTGTCTTTCAAAATCAATTCCGATTGAGTATTGACTGAGTTCGATCCTTACCGGGTGCTCCATACTTCCTACGATTAGTAAATCACGTGTAATGGCTAACAGGCTTGTCTCCCTAGATTATTGAGTATTGAGTTCAAACTTTACTGGGTGGTTCCTACATTTGGCCTTGTACCACACCAAGGCGAAGGTTTGGGGCACTTCAACATGGTGTAAAGGTTATCATGCTTGTCTTTCAAAATCAATTACGACTGAGTATTGACTGAGTTCGATCCTTACCGGGTGCTCCATACTTCCTACGATTAGTAAATCACGTGTAATGGCTAACAGGCTTGTCTCCCTAGATTATTGAGTATTGAGTTCAAACTTTACTGGGTGGTTCCTACATGTGGCCTTGTACCACACCAAGGCGTAGGTTTGGGGCACTTCAACGTGGTGTAAAGGTTATCATGCTTGACTTTAAAGTCAATTACGACTGAGTGTTGACTGAGTTCGATCCTTACCGGGTGCTCCATATTTCCTACGATTAGTAAATCACGTGTAATGGCTAACAGGCTTGTCTCCCTAGATTATTGAGTATTGAGTTCAAACTTTACTGGGTGGTTCCTACATTTGGCCTTGTACCACACCAAGGCAAAGGTTTGGGGCACTTCAACGTGGGGTAAAGGTTATCATGCTTGTCTTTCAAAATCAATTACGACTGAGTATTGACTGAGTTCGATCCTTACCGGGAGCTCCATACTTCCTACGATTAGTAAATCACGTGTAATGGCTAACAGGCTTGTCTCCCTAGATTATTGAGTATTGAGTTCAAACTTTACTGGGTGGTTCCTACATGTGGCCTTGTACCACACCAAGGCGTAGGTTTGGGGCACTTCAACGTGGTGTAAAGGTTATCATGCTTGACTTTAAAATCAATTACGACTGAGTGTTGACTGAGTTCGATCCTTACCGGGTGCTCCATATTTCCTACGATTAGTAAATCACGTGTAATGGCTAACAGGCTTGTCTCCCTTGATTATTGAGTATTGAGTTCAAACTTGACTGGGTGGTTCCTACATTTGGCTTTGTACCACACCAAGGCGAAGGATTGGGGCACTTCAACATGGTGTAAAGGTTATCACGCTTGTCTTTCAAAATCAATTACGACTGAGTATTGACTGAGTTCGATCTTTACCGGGTGCTCCATACTTCCTACGTTTAGTAAATCACGTGTAATGGCTAACAGGCTTGTCTCCGTTAATTATTGAGTATTGAGTTCAAACTTTACTGGGTGGTTCCTACATTTGGCCCTGTACCACACCAAGGCGAAGGTTTGGGCACTTCAACATGGTGTAAAGTTTATCATGCTTGTCTTTCAAAATCAATTACGACTGAATATTGATTGAGTTCCATCCTTACCGGGAGATCCATACTTCCTACGATTAGTAAATCACGTGTAATGGCTAACAGGCTTGTCTCCCTAGATTATTGAGTATTGAGTTCAAACTTGACTGGTTGGTTCCTACATTTGGCCTTGTACCACACCAAGGCGAAGGTTTGGGGCACTTCAACATGGTGTAAAGGTTATCATGCTTGTCTTTCAAAATCAATTACGAATAAATATTGATTGAGTTCCATCCTTACCGGGAGACCCATACTTCCTACGATAAGTAAATCCCGTGTAATGGCTAACAGGCTTGTCTCCCTAGATTATTGAGTATTGAGTTCAAACTTTACTGGGTGGTTCCCACATTTGGCCTTGCCCCACACCAAGGCGAAGGTTTTGGGCTCTTCAACATGGTGTAAAGTTTATCATGCTTGTGTTTCAAAATCAATTACGACTGAGTATTGACTGAGTTCGATCCTTACCGGGTGCTCCATATTTCTTACGATTAGTAAATCACGTGTAATGGCTAACAGGCTTGTCTCCCTAGATTATTGAGTATTGAGTTCAAACTTTACTGGCTGGTTCCTACATTTGGCCTTGTACCACACCAAGGCGAAGTTTTGGGGCACTTCAACATGGTGTAAAGGTTATCATGCTTGTCTTTCAAAATCAATTCCGACTGAGTATTGACTGAGTTCGATCCTTACCGGGTGCTCCATTCTTCCTACGATTAGCAAATCACGTGTAATGGCTAACAGGCTTGTCTCCCTAGATTACTGACTATTGAGTTCAAACTTTACTGGGTGGTTCCTACATTTGGCCTTGTACCACACCAAGGCGAAGGATTGGGGCACTTCAACATGGTGTAAAGGTTATCACGCTTGTCTTTCAAAATCAATTACGACTGAGTATTGACTGAGTTCGATCCCTACCGGGTGATCCATACTTCCTACGATTAGTAAATCACGTGTAATGGCTAACAGGCTTGTCTCCCTAGATTATTGAGTATTGAGTTCAAACTTTACTGGCTGATTCCTACATTTGGCCTTGTACCACACCAAGGCAAAGGTTTGGGGCACTTCAACATGGTGTAAAGGTTATCATGCTTGTCTTTCAAAATCAATTACGACTGAGTATTGACTGAGTTCGATCCTTACCGGGTGCTCCATACTTCCTACGATTAGTAAATCACGTGTAATGGCTAACAGGCTTGTCTCCCTAGATTATTGAGTATTGAGTTCAAACTTTACTGGGTGGTTCCTACATTTGGCCTTGTACCACACCAAAGCGAAGGTTTGGGGCACTTCAACGTGGTGTAAATGTTATCATGCTTGTCTTTCAAAATCAATTACGACTGAGTAATGAATTCGATCCTCACTGGGTGCTTCATATTTGTGGCTTGCAGCCTAGTGACACATCTAAGCTAGGCTAAGTAAATCACTATGGGCAGTTCGATGTGGTGCAATGGTTGGCATGATTGTCTCATTAGGTCAATTACCACTTAATTGTGAGTTCGATCTTCACTGGGTGCTCTATACTTGCGTCCTTGTGCCATTTTTAAGTTACGTAAATTTACGTTAAGTATATTACCATATACTATTCTATCACCACATCCATGGAAAGTGCTCAGACTAACTATATTCCTTAGTTCCACCAGTTCTAATCTTCATCGCTAAAACCCGCCATGTTACGCACATTCAAGCGAACCACCTTCATTCCCTTCGTATTCCATTGGTGATATGTAGGTCCCACTCAAGTAGCTTCTTCCCACGAACTGCTGTTTTATAGAACCGACTCCCAAGAGGATGCTTCCCTGATCACTAGAATCATAACCTGTCCAAGTCTCTGGTCAACCGTTACCTTCCCCATAGATCCCCATAAACCTTGCATGGCTTACAGTCACATCAGGTTGAAACACCTGTTCCTGTATGATCATCAAAGTTAAGCAAGGTCGAGCCTGGTCAGTACCTAAATGGAGGACCAATTGGGAATACTAAATGCTGTAAATTTGGATGTGCAGGTGGTTTAATGGATAATGGCTCGGAATTGTTAATCGGTGAGCCGAGTTCCAATTCCCGTCTCGTTCATTATATTCACTTACACACAAATACCCTTGTGAAAAGGTATGAATTCACTTCTTCTCTCCCGGCTACGGGTTAATTAGTAAGATTTTTGTCACTAAACCATTATTATTTTCAAAAGTGAAATAAAATTGTGTACAAAATATTTAGATTCCTGCATTAAATAATCTGCAAAGGTTATTATGCCACTAAACAAAAACAACAGAACAACATAAACCTTGCCTCTTACATCTTAATTCTCAACCTTGAGTGGCTCTTAGGCCTTGTACAGAGTGGGTATCATTGTAAAATAAATATAACAACCACTTCATAACGATACTTTTATACACTACTATTACCTATCATAATAATAATGGTAATAATAGCAATAATAATAAGAATAATAAGGTTTTATTCTTTCAACGCAATACCAGAGTTTTTTCATTAGAAACTTTCATGCGTCTGACATAATAATGTGGATATAAAATGCAGGTTCCGTGACAAATATAACAAAATCAAGAGACCATCTAATCTTAGGATGTCTTCTACTTGCATGAAATGAATATAAAAATCGACACGATAGAGTGGGGCTATATTTACACTGGACAATGTACAAACACTGTAGAAAAGATGTCAATAAAAAAAATGGTATGAACATAACCCAACACCGGTTATAGAAACAGAAGACATCACAATTTTATGGGATTGCACCATCTTTACACACTGAAGATTGAAGCAAAAAATCCGGACATAATTGTCAAAAACCGAAAAGAAACTTGTCTACTAATTGTTATTGCATGCCTAGCAGACTGTAATATATCAACCAAGGCATTTGAAAAACTATCGAACTATAAAGACCTGGAAATCGAAATGAAAAAAATGTTGAAATTGAAAACAAGAATGGTAACAGTCATAGTAGGTGCGCTTGGAATGATAAAAAGGAACACAATAACACATTGAAAAATTCACTGGAAATTCCAGATTAAGAGGAATACAAAAAATTATCGTAATAAGTACAGCCCACACACTAAGAACAACATTGTCCATGTAACGCTAGTGATGTTATGGGAGTTAGAAAAATAAATCACCAAATTTAGTCATAACAACAGACATGGTAGGTGGTGTAACCATAGTAGAAATCGAAATAATAATAATAATAATAATAATAAATGATAATGAAATGATAATGATAAATGAAAATAATAATGAAATCGAAATCTCAAATATGTGGCACATGGGAACATCAACAATCCCTGTTGTAGTTCGAGCCCTAGGATTGGTTGGAAAAGATTCCAGTAGACTAATTGAAGGGATTCCTGGAAGTCTATGCCTCAAAGAGATACAAAAAATTGTTCTGGCAAGTACAGCCCACACTTTACGAAGGGCTTTATCTATATATATATATATATATATATATATATATATATATATATATATATATATATATATATATATATATATTTGTCAGTGGAAAGTGTCATGATGCCATTCCTAACCTTAGATCTCTGGGCGGGACCCGGAAAGAAATGTGTACACGACAGAAATCAAAGGAAATAAAAATAATAATAATAATAATAAATACCCTGATGCTACACTAGATACGGTTCTGTTTGCTTGTGACTTTAATACTTTTATTGGAGATAATTATATGTATAGGTTTAGTTTTATTGAATTAAGATGGGTCCCGATATCCCGTTCTGTAACACAGATTTGCTTGTCAGGTGCCTGATCGTAACTACTCGCACATGTCTATCTCTGTTTATAAGCGGGAGTAGTTTTTTTTATATTTTTGGTTAAAAAAAGATGACTTGGGAGTTACATTGAGATACTTGGAAACGATCCATCTGAGCGGACCGGTTTAAGGAACAAGAAGATTTTTCTAATTGGGTCTGTCACTGACTGCTGATCTCAATGGAAAAAAAAAATTCCACGCTTCATACTGATGTTATCCTTTAACTTCGGAGATACACCATTCATTGAAAACTAGAAACAAATAACAAATATATATCTCTGAAAGGAAAATGGATAAATAAAATCCTCAAAGAAATACACAAACAAGGAAAATGAATTCCAAACAGAAAAAGTCAAAGAAATATGTCTTAATAAAGAATTTCAAACAGTACTAGTAATGAGCAAAATTACCGTCTTGCTTCTTTGACAAGCAGTAGCTAAAAAGAATACGTAGTGGTTTCATTACCACTAAGGGATTACGTGTCAGCAGACGTACATATATATATATATATATATATATATATATATATATATATATATATATATATATATATATATATATATATATATATATATATATATATATATATATATATATGTGTGTGTGTGTGTGTGTGTGTGTGTGTGTGTGTGTTACATTGGTCGCACAACTTGGAGTTTCATAATGCATGCAATTGTCAGGTGCGAATTTGGTGTTTACAGCCTTTGTTTTATATTTATGGTTATCGCGAGTGCTAGTGTTCAGTATTATTGTGGATTATTATTGTTGCTAGATATTTAGATGAACTGTAGTTTAATTTAGGATTTGCATTTAATCCAAGATTAACATTTATGGTTGAAAATATGATTGAAAATAAGAATTATAAATTTTAATAAATATATATATATATTATAATTTTATCATATAGACGAAACCATTTTACTTACTACAAAGATGAAACTTCGTTTCAGTGCATTTCAACTCACTTCGACGGGTTGAGAATCGAAAATAGTTATGAACAATCATGCTTGTAGGCAAACCGGATCCTACAAGCGGGTGTGTTAATAACCATTTTCGATTCTCGCCCGTCGAAGTGAGTTGAAATGCACTGAAACGAAGTTGGATCTTTGTAGTGAGTAAAATGGTTTTGTCTATATGATAAAAATTATAATAAAGGAATAATTACCACTCTCTCTCTCTCTCTCTCTCTCTATATATATATATATATATATATATATATATATATATATATATATATTATAAAAGATTATAATAAAAACATATTGAAATCACTTCAGAAAAGCTTTCATGTCTTGATACTTTAATTATACTTACCATCGCCTGAAGATGTACAATAAAATTATCGAAACATTTTGTGTAGCGATTTCCATATTTCAATAAAAATAATAATAATATATTTCTTTACTTTGTACTGAGCACTTTTTTAAAAGTAAATGCTACGAACAGCGGAATTTTTACCTTACCTGTTTCCTTCGCTACATAAGAGTTCTCATGTTTCTTATGTAGCGAAGGAATCATATTTTTTAAAAAATATTATAATATAAGCTCTACTTCTGTATGGAGCACTGTCTTCTTAAAAATAAAAACAAAAATACTAAGGAACTACTGATTATTTACTTGACGTGTTCCTTCCTATTTTTATGCATCCTTGTGCGCACACACACACACACACACACACACACATATATATATATATATACAAATGAGAGAAAGAACAGATAATATATATATATATAATTATTTATTTAAAAAAAAATTATAACATAAATATGTTATAAAATCACTACAAAAATAGCCATTTTGTTTCATTTTTGTTTGAAACAAAATGTTTGAAACAAAATGGCTATTTTTGTAGTGATACATATTTATGCTATAATTTTTTTAAAATAAATAATCATATCTGCTCTACTCTGTATTGAGCACTCTTTTAAGAATAGTAATTGTTGGTTATTAGAATTCATTCCGTATACACCAATTATATACTTGGATATATATATATATATATATATATATATATATATATATATATATATATATATATATTCTGTTCTGTACCGGGACTGGTGTCAAAACAATTTATTTTCATTCCAAACAGCAAATTACATGGTTTCCCTCTTCAAAGTAATATCCCTTGAGTCTAATGCATTTTCCACCCTTCTCTGCCATGCTTCTATGCCCTACTGGAAGGATTCTTCTTGAATACCCCCACCCCAGCTCAGTCGTCACGGCATTCTTGATGGCCTTCACGCCTTCAAAAAGGGTCCCCTTGATTATCCACTTGAGCTTGGCTTGAGGAAAAGAAAAATATCACACGGAGTAAGATCAGGTGAATAGAAATGTTGTTCCGGTACTGCAATGTTATTGTCGGACAGTAACTGCCGGTTGATCAGGGCGTTGTCAGCGGATACATTGTTGTGGTGAAGTAGCCGCGAGTTGTCCTTGTCACAACTCAGACGTATAAAAAAATCACTGGTTGTAGAAAGCCAACATTACAGTAATATAATCGCAAGATATCATGTTAGATCATAACACATCCGCTTATCTCTCGTTCGCCCCTAGATCACGCAGCACACCTAGTCCGGTTACTTTTCAGATAGATCTCGTATGCATGTTATAAATGTCTATTTTTATATTTTGACGGAGCATTAAAAAATATTCTCATGATTCTAACCCTTATTCCAGCTGCTCCCATGCTAATACTACGTAGTAAAATCTCTAAACCTGAAAATGCGTATAACAGGTGGGCACTTTGAAGAAGTGGTGTAATGGTTAACAAGCTTACCTCGCTACGACTGAATAGTGAGTTCGGCCACAGACCGTCTAAGTTTAGGAATTTACCATATGCCTTTCACATTGGTGATCGTTACAGGGCCCCACCTGCAAGGTTATTGGCCACTTTTCTCAAAAGCATATGAGGTCCAAGTGAGTGTATTGCGTGTTCTTGGTATGCACTCATTAGACTGGATGTCGTGATGGGTCTATTTGGCTTCGTATATATTGGCAGCAAACAGCATGGATGAGCATAGAGAATGAGTTCATCGAATATACAAAAAAAGAAAGGGGCGTAAGGCAAGGATGTGTCTTCTCACCGGACCTATTCAACCTATAGAGCGAGGCAATTCTGAGAGAATTTGAAATCCCACCGAGATTCAGCATCTTAAGTACATAAGATACGCAGGTGACACCGTACTGACAGCAGACACGAAAAACAAA